TACACCACAATTACGAATTGCATGGCCATATGCTTGAGCCAGTTTCCTCAGTAAGGTACATCAGTGTTACCTTTCAAAGAGAGGTCCGCTGGGACAAGCATATTAACAATGTGTGCAACCAGGCAAACAAGACCCGAGGGTTCTTAAAGCGAAATCTAAAGATCGGCAACTCCAGTGTGAAAGAAAACGCATGTAAAGCCTTTGCCCCCGCTTTTAGATTACGCATCTTCAATCTGGGACCCATTAACTCAGAGGAGCATCGACAAGTTGGAGGCGGTCCAGTGACGGGCAGTATGCTTTGTTCAGAACCGCCACAGGAAAACCTCCCAGAACCGCCACAGGAAAACCTTTAGTGTTGGCATGCTGAAAACACTGGGCTGGTCATCACTGGAGGAATGGCGATGATTATCCAGGCTCTCCATGATGTACAAGATAAAAAATGGGCTGGCACAATGCCCCGAACATCAAACAGAAACTCGTCTCTCTCCACGATAGGCAGTTACGGCTCATAACAGCAATGTTATGTAGGATGTGTTAACGTCACGTTTCCCCCGTGCTGCCAATATAGCAAACACTGCGTTCTTATTGGGCGTGGCCTATTTTCTTTCATCTTAGCGTGTTTACTGCCGACACCAACTAAATATAAATAATATATTCTAATAGAATTTTTGGGAAACTTCGATAATTGACTAGAAAGATAAACAATGTAGAAGACATTTCAAGAAGCGTTGGTTCTACCGACGCATAGATCTAAAAGGGGATTCGGAGAATCATCGAGGGAGATTCAGAGATTCAGATAGATATTTTGAACTTCACGAGACAAGTATATTATTCTTTGTGTACTCATGTGTTTATTCTCATTCATCATTGTACATTATTAATTGGCACATTGTACTAAGTGTGTACCGGTACAAGACTTCCCATATTATGTAAGTTGATGATTGTAATTATATTTCTTTTGTTTGTAATTATATTAATACTTAAATAAATCTTATTAATTGTAATAAGTAATGTTTTAAGTGTCTTAGTTTTGCTATTTATTTCTCTATGGTATCGTCCTTTGTTAGGCACTGTTTACAACGAGCCAATAACTTAAAATAAGAGATTACTTTCTCACTATAGAAGGCAGTGCGTAACAAGCAAGAACACAGTACAGGAACTGCTCATTCCTGCCAAAGACAATCAGGGACTGGCACAAGCTTCCAAAAGAACAGTTGAGGCGACAACCCTTATACATTTGCGTCTATTGCCCCAGGCCTTCGAACCCCCAGTTCCTGATACCCTCGCTTAGTAGCTCTTGCAACCAATAAAATATCCTCTTCAACACCAGGGAAAAAAAACATTGCGAATCCCCTCTACATGCAAAAGATCCATAGTGATATATATATTTATCGTGAGCCCTTAATATAGATGTGGCAGAGTAGACCTCGTTGCTTGTCAAACACAGTCACTGGATCGGAATGTTGACCTCAAGTATCAATATCACCCCAGTCGGTGCGACACGCTATTTATTCTCCCCCATCGGGGGAATGCTTAAATACCACTATGTGTGTTGTAGTTATAAATTAAATAGTTTATTGCTCGGAAACCCTAGTGTATTAAGTTATAAATTATATCTATTTGGAAAAGTGATTTTAGTCACTATTCCTTAGCACATTTACAGGTCTCCACCGTGATAGGATATTTTAATATTTAGTCATTAAGAGAGTTTTCACATCCACTCTTGGGGAGTCGCAACCCGTTTTATTTAAAAAATCTCAAAAACTATAATTTAACTCAAAGAAATATAATATAGTATTATATTCACCCAAGACTAAGCTGAAGAGGTCACTTCAAGTCTTTAGGGGGTTTGGTCCGGAATTTTACTTTTATTTGGGTTGGAGTCGAGGGGATTGTTAATTTACCACCGGCTATGTGCCAGACCGTGAGTTAGGGACTTCCTCAGTCGTCGCGTGACGTAGATGCTCTCTGATATGTCCCCTTGAACAGATAAGTTTTCAATTAAAAGCTTTAACGCATCACTACGGTGCGCCTTGTTTCCCGCGGCCCATTTTGAAGCTCTATATTGTCCCTTTCCTTTAAGTTTAAGGTTTGTTTTTTTAATAGTGAACTTTTCCTTTAGTTGTTTTCTGGGCACTTTTTAGTTAGAGTTTAATAAAGCTATAGTCTTCGAGACCAGAATTCCTTCATATTTTTTTTTTATTAGTAAATGTCAGTCTTGGGCCACCTAACACCATAGGTATGTTAAAGTTCATAGGGGAAAAGAGCATTTCCCAAAGATAGGTACTCCCGAAAAGGAACATGATCCGCTTGAACAACCTGGATATCTCAAGGAAGGTGGATGGCAAAGCTCTCATAAATTGTCCAGCTTGTCTGTTTTTCTATTCACCTCCCTGAACTTAGCCTTGAGTTCAGAATTGCACTGAAGTTCAATCAGATCCATTTGAAACGCAAGTGGGGGGAGGGGGGGGGGAAATCTTCCACATGAAGGAGAAAGGGTCAGCAAAAATGTGAAAAAATAAGTCTGTGTGTTTTGAAGTCTGTAAACATGTGATCAAATTCTTCCTGTAGCTTTTCAATGGCATCAGTATACTTACTACTGAATGGTGTGCCCGAGTCCATGAGTATTTTGCATGTTGGAAAATGGCAGAGGTTTCTCTCAGAAAGCTGGGCTTTCCATAGAACACGTTTTGTGCGGAATGCCCTGAAATTGTCATAGGCAACACTGACAAGCTGCCCATGGCCCTGTAATTTCTTATTGAGTACATTCAGCTCCTGTGTAAAGTCAACAAAGAAAGCCAAGTCCATAAGCCATTTGGTATCATTTAGTACAGGAACAACCACCCCATCCTTCTCCATGAAGGCTTTGATTTCTGCTCTCAACTCAAAAAATATTTTCAAGAAGTTTCCCCTACTACGCCAAAGTACCTCGGTGAATTAGATAACATCCTCATTTGCTGACTCAATTCCCTCTAAAAATGCAGGGAACTGACAGTGCTTCAAGCCGCTGAATCTGGTATGGTTGATGCATTTCACAACGTCAGACTTCAGGCATTTGCTGTAAAGGGCTTGTTGATGGATAATGCAGTGTATATAGTGCAATGGCTTCTTCCATACCCTCCTCTTCCAGTTTTCTTTGAACATGTGCCAAGCCTAGAGTCTATTCATTGTCGCTGCCATTGATGGCGCTCCGTCGGTTATTATTTCTGCCAAATTTTTCTCTGTAAACTGGCATCCACAATGGCATTACACAGCTGGCGGAATATCTCCCGAGCATGTATTACAAGCTGTGCAGTGTCAGTAACATCTAAGCTCTCATCAAGAGCGACTGAGTATGCATGGAAATGTTTACCTTTCTCGCACAGTTGATCATAAATGTCACCTGACATCTCAGAAATGCACTCTGCCACTGTGTAGGTAGAAAGGCTGATGTTGCTAAAACGACCCTTATTTTCCGGACAGACTAAACTTGCACCTTGTAACATGCACATTTTGATGAACTCGCCTTCTTTGAATGACTTTCCTGCCTAGCAATCATCTCATTCACCACTCAACTAGCTTCAACTGCATCACTTTCTTTGTTGGCTTTTTTGAAAAATCAAGCTTCCTAAGATATGTTTTAATTTGAGCAACCCGGGCCTCTCTCTCAACCCGGGCCTCTCTCTCAACCCGGGCGTCTCTCTCATCTCCCTGGTATTTTGAATACGCCCCAACATGTCTGGTTAAAAAATGACGTCTGATGTTGTACTCCTTCTGCACCGCAACTTTCTCGGTGCATATAAGGCACGTCGGAATTCCCCTTTGCTCAACAAAGCAATAGTCCGTCTACTAATTCTGATATTGTCTGCTCTCATCGCCAACCTTTCTCTTCACAGCAGGTTTTGAGAAAGACATGACTTGGGCCTGGTAACACAAACATGTATTTGCACTGTTTGATAAAATATAGTTTCCCTCCACTTGGTAACACTCCCAAATCATGTTTCACGAGACAAAGTTGACAGGCTTGGAACTTACGTCACTCGTCTCTGGTACACAAGAGCGCCCATGATCGTGGGCCCTCAAAATATAGAATAAGAATAAGTAAGAACGTTAAGTTATAGTTATTTTTACATTAAATTTACTTTATTAAAAATGTTCCTTTCCTGGTCTTCAAAGTTGCAAACCTGTCAATCACTTGGTCGAATTCAATATCCTTCACCGTAACACTTTCAATTGATAGTAGAGCGAGATCAGAAAGCCTTGACTGCCCCATGCCCCATGGTGGATTGTAAATAGGTCTTGGATAAGCCTTAGTTTTGAAAAAAATCTTTGCTTACATGAAGCCACAAAAACATTTTAAAAAAAATTAAACAAGTTTTAAATGATTATTAAAAGTTATTTGAAAATATTGTAAAATATTATTTTGTTAACCCTAAAAATGGGTAAAAATTCATTTTTAAATGTTTTTAATTTTTACCGATTCGATTCATTTCTTAGTCTTAGAATAGTCTGACCATATCGCATTTGGTATTAATGGAAAGCTTTGTCTTTGTTTCTCAGAATTTAGATGCATATTGCTTTCTGTAATTTATGAGGTACCGAACACTTCATTCGGCATTGAGTAATGGTCAAAAAGGTGTTTCTGACACATCAACCTTGAACTTTTAATAAAGCACGCATTTGGATTGGTTACATGTGTGGAAAATTTGTGTGCGATTGGTTATCCTTTATGAAAATCGGCTGGACCGAGCAGCGTCTGCTCTGTAAACTGTAAATATGCAATTTTTCAATTTGGTGTCATCCCCCTGAGATGGTGACACCCGGTGCGATCCGCACCCCCTAGCTACGCCACTGCTATATACTATATATATTATTATAGTGGAAAGGCTTGCGTTTGTTTAATTTTTTTTTTTAAATGTCACCACACCCCCCTCTCGAGTCTCGACGCAACACCAGTTACACCACTGTCCAATTTGTAACAGCAGTATTTGCGGCTCTAGTCGGTTATCTGTGCGGTAAAGTGGGGAGGGAATTTCAAAGCTAAACTAAACATGGCGACAAAAACATCTGGTTTTGATGATAGTTTTTGAGATGTTATCCATGTCAAGGATGTCTTAGGTCTTTAATCGCAGGTATAATTAGTGGAAATGATGCAATAAATAGTCGATTTTTTCATTTTAAAAATAATTTTCCTTCCATGATTTTAAAAGGCACCTTTTAAAAAATGTATATAACGCCCGGACGCCGTGAGAAGTAAAATAAGTAAAAAATAAAAAAAGTAACATTGAATTATTGTCATTGAATTTGAATTGAATGATAAGTATTAAATAGTATTAAGTTGCAATTATGTATAGTCTAAATCATGGGTGGCCAACATTTTTAGCAGGCGGGCCCAATTTCAGAAATAATATTTCCTGCTGGGCCACGCACCTAATTTAAAAATTAAAATTAAAGTAAACAAGCTAAGCAGTACCACAATCCACATTGACCACATCGTTGCTTCCCACCGCGAATAGCGTTGCAAATGTAAAAATAAGCACATTATGGTTTTTAAAATCCTGATGTCGGTTTTCAAATTCGAGGGTTAAGTCAGATATCAAAGAATCATATATATCCACTAATGACAATGTAGGAAAGTTAGTTAAGTTTTTTGTCCTCAACTGTTGTTCTCAAAGACCAAGTTTCATTTGAAATTCAGAAATTCTGAGAAATATGATCATACATCTTATTAATTTATTGATCTGTCCCTTGTAGATGAGTTTTAACGTCATTTAGGTAACTGGTTATATTGTCCAGAAATGCAAATTCTGAAACACACTCTCTGTCTTCTTCAAATTCTGGGATACTTATTGACATTGGCTTGCTTGCAAAGAATGATTGTATTTATTGCTGCAAATCAAACATTCTTTTCAACATTTTGGCATGGGTCAGCCATCCTATTTCTGCTTAAATTGTAACATCACGTCATTATAATCTGAGTCCAAAGACTTTGGAAATTCTTGGGTCTGACAATGATTCAACCCGTTCGACTTAATGTAGATCACTATTTTGATTATCACTTTCATGACATAGAACATAAATTCTCCTGATTAAAAATGCAATGAAAGTTAACCATTGACATATTACCGACTTTGGACTTTAAGGCTCTTCTGTCATTTTCATTCATTGACATAATGATTTCTTCTGTTAAAAAACGTCCAAAACTTATTGATTCAGAAGGCCTACAGTTTAACTCTCAAAGTACGTTGTATTGACTTTTTGATCTTTAGTGGTCGATGGATTATAAATTAATTTTTTTGTCGCCTTTCTACACACCAAAGTTACTTTATGTATGAAAATATAATTTTTTTGATAAATTTCTTAAAAATATTTTTAAAATATCAATTTTAAGTGTAAATTTAGATTTTTAACAAATTTAGTCTGTGCATTGTGTTTTGGTTTTGTTGATGACGCTATTTTTGTCTGCCATATTGCAAATCCTGTTAACTCCACTGAAGGCTGGTAGCACAAAATGACTCAAAAAAAGGCTCAAGATTTATCTTCCAACGTTGTCATTGTTTATATTTCAAGTCAAAGCGTGATACTAGCCCGATAAAAACAAGAAGACATGACTGCTGATGATTTTGTTTATTTTCACCTCATCAAAAGTTCGCTATCAGTGGTAAGATTTTTATTCTTTGTTATGACGGGTCAAAACACACTCAAATTTTATGTAATTATTGCAAAATACTAAATTTACATTTATATACAGTAACAGCGGACTTCATAAATATTAAAAATAATTATTTAAGCTTACTCATACTCATTAATTTTTAGTTCCAGGTCATCAAGGGTATATTTTATTATCTTTTTTTTTTTCATAGGCTCTAGTTGTTTGAAATTTTCCTTTGTTTACATTAGATATGCTTAGAGGAGGCAATGACTTTTTGGTCTATAATTTATTCTGGATTAAAAACAGCTTTTACTTTTGAATGTTTGTTATTTTTAATTGCATAATTCATTTAGTTTTGTTCATTAAAAAAAATTATAAGATCTAATTCTATATTTAATACTTGTATTCTATTGTTATTTCACAGTCTCAGAGCAATGACTAGGACATTGGGCAACCCAATAATCATGGCAATGCTATTCCTGTCATAAGACCCGATCTGCCTATGGAAACCTGTCCAAAACAAGACAAAATAAGGAGCATATTCACCTTTATCACTTTTCAACTTCAATTTACATCAAGAATGGAGATAGTTGCGCGGCCGCAGCTTAAATGGAAAATTGCAGCTGCATGTTATGGCAGCTAAGCCAACTGATTTTAAAACTGGACATTCCAGCTGATAAACAAAATTTCTAACATTCATTGGACTTCTAAACTAAGAGCCCAACTTGTGTTGACTGTAACTGTATAAAAAAGAGTTTATTTACTGGATTATGGCATTATGAAATTCATTAAAAAAAAATTTTTTAGGCCAATTTACAGGTCTATACTCAATAAGTTTCTAAAAGAAAAAACGAGTAAACTGCTGATATCTGGTATAGTTAATTTTAACAGAGATTGATGAATAAGACATGCATGCTAAGATGGTCCCTGGAGCAACCATAATAAATAATCAAGAGAAGCAGGAGAGGATAGGACACAGCAGGAGAGGATAGGACGTACTCATTTCATAAATATAACACAATACCGGTATGAACAACATAACTGCAAATGAATTATTGGTTATTGCAGTTTCAATTTTCTAGTTAAATGGTATAAATGGTTGTGTTGTTACTGTAGGTAAGCTAAATGCAACTACTGTGGCAAGTTGATTTTAGAAGTTGAATTGTGGATAAAAGATATCAGGTTTAGAATAAATACAAAAATATGGACAGAAATCTTAAAATTGTTAGTAGAAGAAAACAACAGTGGACGAGATGGTCAAGAGACTTATTCTTTCCTTTTAATTAATGTTCTAGTGTTAGGCTTATAGTGAATGTTCCCTCTAAGGTTTGCTAGTTCGTGTGCAAAATCATACAGTTGTGTGCAAAGTTTTACAGCATCAATTTTTTTGTGTGCAAAATTTTACAGCCCAAAAACACAAGCACACACTTACATAGAAATTTGATGCGCCGATACTCAAAACTGCTGCGCGGCGTCTTCTTTGAGATAGTTGCGCGGCCGCAGCTTAAATGGAAAATTGCTTATAGTCATATATATTTTAATCAAAAGAAAACAAAATGAATGTCATGAATGATTAATAAGATCTTATTAGCTTTAGTCTTTTTAGTTCCTCAGTAGAATTGATCAGGTGGTGACAAACATTGTTGACAATGCTCATTTTTCTACTGCAGACTGCAGCAATATAAATGAATATGTCTCAGCAATGGCATGCTGTTGCATGTTGCATGAAATGGTTGCTTACGGTAAAGATATAATGTGAAAATCTTTATTTGGTTTATAAAATAGAGAGAAAATTTGGACTTAATATGCTGCCAATTTTAACAAAAATTGTCATGTTTCACACCGATATTTGTTTAAATGTATCGAATGTGGTATATTTTTGTAAAAATTTGTTAAAAATTATTTACATTCACTAATATTATTTGTTAATAATAATAATATTTCTCTCATGAAATACTTGCTTTGTTTTCTTTAACTTTTTTTGGTTCAATTAAAAAAATATTAACTCTTTTAAAAAAAAATTTGAATGTATTTTTTAAAAGTGGCATTATTCTTACAAATATGGGTAAAAGTGCATGAAATTATTATATGTGTTGTAAAAATGGATACCATTGATGGATATAATAAAAATTTTAACTTAGGACTCAATACTTATTTTTTTGCTTTACCTATTTGTAATATGTTTGTATTTTGGTGAAAATTTAGCACAAAATTCATCCAAATTTGCATCATGTTAATTTTTATTTCAAAAGAACGCCTCACAAGCAGAAGAGTTCTCTGTGTAACCACTAAAAACTGTTGTTTTTTTTTTGGGCACCCATGGCGCCAAAGCAAATTTTAAATGTTCTGGTTTTAAATTTGAAAAAAATGTTCACCTCAATAGTGAATTCTAAGTAGTTAAGCTTAAATACAAAAAATTAAGGCCTAAGTCTAAAGCAATTGGTTTCCTTTGGTGCTGTCTTAAATTTGTAATTTATCGGGAATAACTGGTCCATTTTCCCCCATATTTACCTTAGCACAGTGGTTCTCAACCGTTATAATGCCGCGACCCCTTAATACAGATCCTCGTGTGGTGGCGACCCCCCAGCTACATAAATTATTTTCGTTGCTACTTCATAACTGTAGAGTACATGTGTTTTCAAATGTTCTTAGGCGACCCCTGGGAAAGGGTAGTGCGACCCCCAAAGGAGTCGTGACCCACAGGTTGAGAACCGCTGCCTTAGCACTTGCTAACAACATTTAATTCAATAATGCATTTCTTTGTCTTTTCAAATTGATTGTGAACCCTTTAAAAGACAACAAGAGCATGTCATCATGACTGATGTTATTGAAGATCTGGAGAATTTCTTGCGCAGAGCTATTGACTGTTTAAATCATATCCTTACTGGATTAGTAAGTACATATAATTTTAATTTAAAAAAAATGAAATTGGTTGCTGTCATTTTCTTAAACACATAAGTAAGCTTTTCCTAATTGTATAGGAGACACTGTAGGCTTGCTTGCCTGTGAATTCTATATTTTCCTTTATTCAGGGATCTGTGACTAGCATAGTTGCCCTCCTTTTAAACACCCACTCTCCAACTCCCACTTCTCACAATTTGTCTTCTTTCTTTCGTTGTTCCTTTATCTACTATATCACATAAGGATAATCAGTAAAATTATAGAAACACCTGGCCTGCTATAGGTAGAACATTTGGTTCGAGTGTCTGATGACATAAAATTTACTTTCTGCTAAAACAATTTAAAAAATATTTTTACGGGACATGGGAAAAACCCTAGCTCAGTGTTTTCCAAACTTTTTAGTTTGTGGACCTGTGTACAAGTTGAGAAATTGGGACATGGGCTGGTGCCAGATTATTATTTTTTTATTTTGACCTTAAATATTCATGTTGTTTGTACCAGGAATGTAAGGCTCGTGGACCAGTGCCAGTCCGCAGACATCACTTTGGGAAACACTGCCCTAGATCAGCATTACCCGAACTTTTGTTTCGTGGCCATGTTAAGGTCATACTTCTCCTTCATGACTCACTAAAATTTGTATCGCTTATCTGGCCCACGGGTAACATAAAATTTATTAAGTGTCCATATCTTTTCTCTTCTTATGCCTTTTACCCATCTTTTGCATAGGCCGTCTACAAGAATTTTCCATTCCTCTCTGTCCTGAGCTTTCCTTTCCAGTTCCTTCCGGGTTCATCCCATACTTTGGTGTATCTGCCTCTTAGTTTGTGTCTCCATGTATTCTGAGGCCTTCCTCTTTTTATTTTTCCCTGTGGATTCCATGTTAGGGATTGTCTGGTGATGTGATTTGGAGGGTTTGCGGAGAGTAGGGCGTCCCAAAAAAATGAAGTTTTGAAATGTTGATGTCTCACCCCACAGAATATGTCTGTATGGTAACAGTACTTAACCTGCAAAATTTCAGCTCATTTGGACAATGTTTAGAGGTCCCCCAAGAGGTTTAAAGTTCCAGATTTTGGTGTAAAATCATTCGCGGTCAAATCTAATACAGCGTTAATGTTGCATTATATGCAAAACTGATATATTAAGTAACAAATTGATGCTTAGTATTGTTTATAATATTAAATGAAACAAAATATATAAATCTTGAATGGTTTATATTTTTAAATTTGAAATTTAAGTAAAAAATTATGAAAAACAAAGTTTTATTCATTTTGTCAAGTTAATTCTTGAAAGAATGTCAATCTGCTTGAAAAATAATAATAAGCAATGCAATTAAGCATTCCTAATATTTATCTTGTACTTTGTACTGTAGGTTAGACAAAAATTTTAAAAAGTTCTTCAAATTTAAATTTTAGCCAGCTGTTCACGATTACACTCTGCAAAATTTTTCTGATGTTTGTCAACCGCTTGGAGCAAAAATTGTTTTTGTTCTGCGTCCTGGGTGATACTGTCATTGAAATTTTTTATCAATGCTACACCTCGCTCTGCAGAGTCATTGATACAAGCCAGATTCTTTACAAAATCTGCTCCAACTTTAAAAGATGGTGTATCTGGCCATGCTTCAACAGGAACATCTAGAAAACTGGCATCAATGTTGGATGTTTCAAAAAATGTGGTAGACGCACGCAAATCAACAACACTTTTTGGTAGTGTTTTTATGAGATGCGGTCCAGGTTCTGATTGCATTGTCCGAACAAGGCCAGTTTTTTCTTTGTCCGACAAAAGGGCTGAAAATAACACAAGCGTCCACAGTTCCGGACTCAAGTACCACGAGTGACGCACCATCATTTTCAATCCAGTCGATCGAAGAACAGCATCATCATATTCGTATAAACGCTGTATCAACAAGATATCATTCACAGGTGCATCTGCGGTGAGCCTGCATGAAAACCATGATTGAAGATAAACACATATGGTAAACCGATTAAAGCGCTGAATACCTTGTAATTCTCGAGCTGTTAACTGAAAGATGGTTTCGTTGCCTGCAAACAATAGTTCGATTTTCAATGCATAGATTGCTTTCACCATCCACCTTGCCCTATGTAGGGCACCAGGTCTGCGGATGAGAGAGTGAGGTTGACGCCGTGCAACTCTTCCTCACTTTAAACAAAAGTCACTAGCGCAAGTCATCAGTCATTGGACGACTCGATTGTCATCGTCGATCCTCGACAGATGAACAACAACACCACGTGGAAAATAGGGCTCAGCTTGCAGTTTGTACATAATAGAACAGAGCGGTCTTTGCAAATATGTCCAATAAACTTGTTGAGTTGAAGTTGTTTGAAGTGTTTGTAAAGATTTCAAAACACTGGCGATGTTCTACCTCACAGTATCTTGGTGCGCTGGGACGAATCGTCTTTACTTGCGGAGAGGTGAGGAAATATGTAACATCAATATTGACTGTCTGTTGTCTTCATGAGACAGTGAGTTAGACGGATATTTATATTTAAATGCCCCTCTTGCTACAATTGATGGCAGGTTAACAATGTTAAAAAACACAACCAAAGCCATCTTTTACCTTTAGTTTTTGTATTTACAGAGAACACCCTCGCCATTTGGTCCATGGCGAATATGCCGCCTTTGATTCTGTTTTTACAGAGCACAAACTCTGGTTTCTTGCAATCAGTGTCACTTTCTATATTTGGACAATTGTGTATTGTGTTCGGGAGCAATTCATTTTTCCGATTCGAGCTCTGGTATTTGAAAACGTTGTTTCTATCTGAACAAAAACACTGATTTGTTTCTTATGTTCAAACCCCTTGGGTAGTAACATCTTGTTCCGTTTCACTGTTTTAACTAGGGTGAGTCTGTTCTTGGCCATTGGTTCTGCAAGTTGTAGTGGAGTGAAATAATAGTCTGTTCTGAAATTGCGGCCACTTCCATGGAAGTCCATTGTGAAAGAAATCACAGTCTCTGGGGATATTCTAACATTTCTCTTTGCTGGCAGGGCACTTGCATTTGCTATGTCAAGATATGGGCAGCTTCTAAAGGATAGTTCGAAGACGATTCGCAGGCCCAGAAGTTTGCTGTTCCATATTTGTCTGGCTTTCTTGGCATATATTCAATAAATCTGCAACCAACCAGTTGCTCACCTACTGGGATGTTCTTTCCAGGAACAAAATACCTTGCCAAATTACTCAGGAGCTTCTAATATATCTCTTATGGGCGCAAAGATTTCATGAGCCAGAAAAGATTAGTCTAATATCCTTGTTGTCAAAGCCAATATGAATCAGAAGTTTGCTGAATCTCTTCATTAATAATGCTGCCCTAAAAAGAGGATTTCCATTAACAACGCTGAATAAAAATTCCACTGAAATGCTGTTGAGGTGAAGAGCGCCAGTGTGTAGTAAGCAGCCACTAAAAGCTTTCATTAGATCGCATCAGTCCCTTGCCATTTATTTCCTTTTACTTTCTCGCCTTCACTGTTGGTGCATTCAGCTATTGTTTGTATTATTTTTCATTAATGTACAGAACAAATGCTTTAGTGGGAGAAACAGAATCTGTGAAAGGAGTTTGGTTACAAGGAAACTAAATTATGGCACATTGTAAAAAAGAAAATAACATAAAGAGAGCTAATTACTGTGATATAAGACTATGGGTGTAATCTTACCCAGTTTCCAGGAATAGCCAGAAATACTTTTTCCCATTATAAGTGTATGGGTGTGCCACACCGAGTCGGACAGGGTATATAATATGTTGCGATGGAAAGGGTTAAAAAAAAAATGTAATTCTCTCAATGTGACATACAAACCAGCCTTTCAATCAATAAATGTATTTATATTCCTAACAATGTCATGATTTTAATTTTGTCCCTACCATACATTGCCTTTTACTCTGGTAAAATAAAAATAAATTATGCTAAGCATAAATATTTTAAATTCAAATATCCCTTTTAGCGGCATCGAATAAATCAAAATGGCCATCGACCTTTGAACCATAAAACACTTGTGAGGTGGATATCTGCATTTCTACCAGCACCAAGAGATCCAAGACTCAGGTTACAGGTAAGAACTAGAGATGGAGTAATGATCGCTAAAATTGAAACCCTCATGTCTGATAATATCAACACCCAAATAAAAAGTTTATTATATATTCATGTAATTGTCTCCCACTATGTTTATGAACATACCTAGCTAAAATACAAAGTTTAAAAAAATTAGTTATGTTATCAATTTGCTTACTTTATTTTTTTAGTCAGAGCTGGGACCACAGAGCAGTAAACTAAGTCGATGGGGAAGCTATGGCAGCTTGCACTCTGTTGGCTCATTTACCAGTATCAATGGAATAGTCCAGGAGGATTTGGGAGAAAACCTTGTTAGATTTAGGTGAGAACTTATTGTCCACTTAGATCTCTTCTTCACTTCACTTTTAAAATGATTTGTTCCCCTTAAATGACTCAGAAGTTGGTTTTAGAAGTTGGCTTTTTCATTGTGCTCGAGGCGAACATCCATTGTTGTGGAATGAAATGGCTTAAAGGTTATTTATAAAACTGTTTTTATTTTGAATGATTGCCACTTCATCTTCATGACATGGTAACCTATCTTAGCTGTCTTAAGTAAGATTGGAGTCAAAGGCTAATATGATAAATTAGCACAAACTGATCATAGTTTGGCCAAAGCTACCCCCAACTTGTCTTCTTCTACCATCTTTACTCATGGACAGAAAATAATGCTTGAGTAATCTAAATAGGAACTGATCCTATTAACAGTCTGCTTTATTTTTAATAAGGAAGTTATTATTTCTGTAGGTGAACACATTACCACTATTAATTTCTTTTACAACATAAATAAATAGTAAACATAAAAAAAGAGATGAAAATTATTACAGGATTCATATTCTCAAAGTAAATAGAAGCCCATTGTTAAAGAATTTTTATATTGTGTTCTAAAAAAAAAAAAAGACCCATTTGTGTGTGCTTTTACTTAAGTTAGGTTTTTCTTAAATGATGTAATCACTATATTCAAGACAACATGAATAATTAAAATTGTCTTCGATTTGATACAGATTTTTTTTATCCCATGATTTGTTTGCTTTTTTGCAGGTGCGTAACATAGAACTTGTGGTTATTGCTTCAGATTTCTTAAATCCTCATTTCCACAGGTTGGGTTGCACTGATGAAGATTCTGATATTTTTGATGATCCTCATTTTGCAATCTTTAACCAAGATCATCTGACTTCCACTCCTAATTTCAACACCTCAATATGCTCAAGTCGTGAATCCAATGAGTTGGCAGCCTCTAATAAATTAGTGGAGATGGAAGAGGAGCTTGCAGTTCTGCGTAAACAAATTGCAATGTTGGTGATGCAACAGGAGCTTTCATCGATGGATCACACTGGTAACACATCTGGGTTAACATTTTATCAAAATTAATTTATTTTTGCGACTGCTGCATATTTAGAATTTCTTTTAGAAAATAGAACAATTTTTATTTTCATAGGCTTAAATATATTTTAAACAATTTTTATAAGTTAAATAAAAATAAATCAAAGAAGCTGATGTTTTATTTTTATTACTTTTAAAAATCTTGTGTAAAATGAGGGGAAAAATGTACATTCTATAAGAGACTATCTAATTAAATAAAATTGTTCCCTTAAACAAACCTTTTTACTTTTACAATTTTGGCATACAATGTAAGATTTTGAGATGTCTGTTGAATGTATGCTGAGACCTGTCAGAACTATGATTTTAAGAGGCTGGGTTGAAAAAAATATATATCTGTGGTTTTTCTGATATAAAATAAATGTTCTTTTGTTAGTTTTAGCTCTTTTCTTTATCTGGCCATGAATGGACCCAGAAATACAATTGGCTGGGCATCATCCATAATTATATTACAGACGCACTGAGAGAGGAGAAGGGGGGGGGGTGGTGTTGACATACATGCGGCGTGTACAGGCCACCTGTCGGATTTATCACAAATAAACTTATTTCTTTATTCAATTAGCGATTATTTTCTATCTTACCATAATGCACATTTTAAATATATGCATCACTTTTTAGTGACCACTCCAGTTTTGGACTGATCTTTTTAAAAAAATTGTGAACAATTTTACTATTTAATAACTACTAAAATTAAAGGATTTATATTAACACAACAGGGTAAAGGTAAATAAATAGTTGAACAAGATATGTTTAGGCTTGAATAAAGACAGGCGCCTACTTTTCCATTAGCATTTCTTCAGTTATTCTCCAATTAAGTGTAGAATGATGCAAAACTAAATTCAGGGATATTATCTAAAGTTCATCCCTTCATTTAGAATTTTATCATCGAAATATCTGTTATTCAAAAATGCCGCCCCCCCTCAATACAATAGAAAAAAGTGCAGCTTGTAGCGGACCGCACCCCACTTCCTACCCCACTGTATACATTATACAGTATATTTGTTTATTTACTATTATGATAGGGTATTGAAGGATTTTGAGATGGTTAAGTACCGGTACTAATCTGAAAAGATATTTTACTATTTTTGGAGTTCCAGGGTAACCAGGTCTGCTTCTTGGTTTTTGAGTCATTGATGATTGGATGTGTTTAATGTTTGATATTGTAGGAATCGATGATGATTGGATGTGTTTAATGTTTGATATTGTAGAAATTGACTAAAAAAAGTGCTCCTTCTAACTAATTAAAAATTAATTCCTTTCTGGTGTGTCTAAGAAAACCCCTGTGCAGGTAGCTAGAAATAAAAAAAATCTTTATTTGAGCAACTAAGTTTACTAATGCAGGAGTCTGCAAATTTTTTGGCAATGGGTATCAAAATTGAGGTGCTTTGGGGGGTGGGGGGAATTAGCCCCTTGGATAGCAGACCTCTAAACTAATGATAACATTACTTACCATAGTCTATGAACTGCGAGTATTTTTATTATTGATGAAAAGTTTTTATTATTTTTTTTTTTTCAAAGATGAAGTAAAACCAGTTTGCAGAAGCGTATCTCAAGTTGCGGCAATACCCTTGCCAAAGTCACCAGATTCAAGTTCATCCTTGGAGGACTCTGGCTGTGAAAGTGAAAACTTTCCAACAGTAGTAACCCCATGCAGCAGTTCAGATGATGGAGTACAATCGGCTGATTCCCCCCACCTTTCAGGACACCAACAGATATTTGTGATACCAGCTCCACCTCCTCCACCTCCAAAGTCATTTACTAGCATTTCTTCTTATTCCCAACTCAATCTGCAGGTTAGCTTAAGTTATCACATTGTTTTAAGCTCAACTTTCTGAATATTTCTTTCTCAAAATTAAGGATGTCATAGATTTTTTTTCCCAGCAACATAAATACAATACATTGAAAAATCATTTTTAAAATTTTGAAAAATCCGCCAGGGAAATTGTAAACTAAACCTGATATTATATGGAAATAATTTTGTTAAAAAATAAATAAATAAATTGTCGTGAAATTAATACACTAGATTTTTGCTGTTATTTCAGAAGACTTCAATACAACAAATAATTTGTTAGATACTAATGCTATTGCTCCTGATTTCATCTTCCAGAAATCAAGTGCCCCTTGTACAGATAACTCTGAGATAAAAGGGAAAATATCTACCAGTGCTAGTTTCCCAGATATGGCTCATGTGTTGAAAGATTTGACCAATGTTAAGTTAAAAGCTGTGCAAAGGTGAGAAGTGAAATCTTTAAGATCAGTTGGGTAGAATTATGCAGTCATTAATTTTTAAAGTCATTTTCACTAGCTGAAAAGGATTTAAAATCATTGATGAACAAAATTGATCCAAGAATCACCCAGTGAGGTGTTTTCTCTATAGGTACAATGCAGACCTATTTACTCCTACTATTTTTAGTGTACATTGTACAATTTTGATAAGTCTTTTACAAATGTAAATCAAACCCTCTCAGAACTACAATTTCAAGAGACTGGGTTTAAAATGTATACATTTCTGTAGTTTTTTCTATTAACAAAATATCAAAGTAAATTTTTGGTTGTCAGTTTTAGATCCTTTCTATATCCAGTGGTAAATGGATAGAGAAATATGATTGATTGAGGATCATCTATAAATTATATTACGTTTTGCCAGAGAGGGGAAGTGGGTGCGTTAATTTAGAAGATTTTGTGTACCAGTGTGGGGATGTCTAAATTTTTAGTTCTATAAAACTAACACTTCCACGTTTTCGTAACGATGTTGATGAAGGTGGTCATATTATTGTCTTGGGTTTTCATAATGAACTCGCTAGACAAAGCAACACTATTATTTTAGTGGCCCTAGTGATAACATTAGCAGACCTGCCAACCCTTCTGCCCTAGTGACAACATTAGCAGACCTGCCAACCCTTCTGCCCTAGTGATAACATTAGCAGACCTGCCAACCCTTCTGCCCTAGTGACAACATTAGCAGACCTGCCAACCCTTCTGCTTTTGTTGGAATTATGCAGGTTTTTTACCCCTCATTCTGACCTTCCTACAAACCCCTTACAAATTCTGATTTTAAAAACATTATAATTTTCACCTGTCATAAAAATCTGAAAGCGACCCAAAAAAAAAAAAAAAAAAATCGTGTATGACAGAAAGTGGTGCGTTTCAATGATGCCACTTCCTTTGTTTTTATAGAAGCCAACTGCGATCTATAAATCATTTTTCTATCATCAATTGATCCGATCGTGATTCATCATTTTACAAGGCTAAAAAATAATTGAGTTGTGTTGTTAAATTTTTATTTTTATTAAAGCTTTTCTTAATTAAATGGATAAATCTATTGAAAGTGGTGGTTACAATGACGTTACAAAATATTTTAACACAAAAAAAACCAACATATTTACTAACAGCTAAGCATGTGAATCTACTACATCCTTGTCTGATTGTTTGCTAAGGAATCGGACGATTCATTTATCAGATCCGATGTTTTATTTACCACCTTTCTTATTGAAGGAAATATTTCTCTAGCCAACTCTGATCGTTTTAATGCCAGAGTCAAAGAAATGTTTCCAGACTCGCAGATTGCAAGGAGATTGTGAAGAAAAATTGCAATGAAACAAGGCCAAGCCTGAAATTTTAGACTCTTTCCAACTTGCTTGCAACTAAACTCAGTTGCAATGCTAACCTTCAGTTGTCCAAAGAGCTGTTGGACAAGTGCAAAAAGGCCACTAGGGATACGCTGGAAAACTCAATTTAAAACTGAACTCCTTAACAGCCTGTGTACATATGTAAATAAAATGGATATTCTGTTCTGTACAGTATATATCTTTATAATAATATAAACATTTCTAGTAATGTTTTTCTCGTGTTCTTTGGACTTTTCGAAGACAATGGAGGTAAATTTATATTTCTTTATTTACTAAAAAAGATCGTAAAAAAAAAAAAAAAGGTATGTTGATCTCAACCCCACCCCCCCACAGATTTTTTTTCCTTGGGGGGTTGGCAGGTCTGTATTAGTTGATCCTCGCTTTTATTTGCTTCAGGGCTGTATGAATTAATTTTGTGACATAATTCTTTCATTCAGCTGAACCACAGCGAGTGCGAAAACTAATTTTAAAAAAAAATGTGAACTCATTTTTAACTTTTCCGCACAGCAATATAAGAATTCAACATATTTTATAGGATCTGTAAGGGCCTTTAAAAACCATTTTTAAAACACACAAAATGGCTACATGATTTTTAATACTCCCATTTAATTTCAATGCTCTTCTTCCTTTCACCCATTTACAGCTTGTAACGTATATGTTTACGGGAAATAGGCTTGATGGAATTTTTTTTATTTTTAAAACAGCTTTTTCCTAAAATTAAATAAATTAGCAGTTTCTTCGTAGGTTTTGTAAATGACACTCTCATTTGTAATTTAGTTTTTATTTCAATAAATTTTATGCTGAAATGACTTTGAGTATGAAACACATTAAATTTCTTCATTAACTTTATTTTTACCGGTGACAGACTGTGATAATGTGATCTGCACCTTCACCCAAACATTAATTGATATCTATGACAGATATACTTCTGCAAAACAAAGTGACCACAGATTGCAATATAAACATCAGTTATCTACTTTTGGAAGTTACTTTTTTTGATGTCAGCTTAACTCGATCCCACTCTACATGCTAGTAGTTATTGTTTACATTATATATACTGTTTATTTACTATATAGATATGCTAATGTACGATTTTGAGACAATATTGTACCATGTAAGGAATTCAAAGGAGAAGAAGAGGATACATTTTAAAAATGTGTGCATTGTTTGTGGAACATTTGTATTTAATGAAGAAGCATGATTTGGAAATAAATTCTAAATCTTTTCCCTTTCAAGTTATAGTACAATATAAATTAATTTTTAGTCAATTAATAATGACTCCTAAAATTTCTTTTACCAAAAACTTAAATTACCTTGTTTAATATCTTTATGAATATTTATTTTATTTATTTAAATGATCATATGTGATTATTAGAATATAACTTTGAATAGAAAAGTATTCTTTTTAAATCAAGCTTAGGTTAGTAATAATTATTGTGTTAGTGTCACAAGTATTTTCAATATGCTCAGATCACCTGGAGGGACCCCCATGAGAAGGAAACCACTGTCTGCCGCCACAGATCCCGCATCCATCATTGCTCAAGCTCTGAAGAAAAAATTTGCTAGACACAGAGGTAACAGCCCCGACTCTGATCTGGAGCATGACAGCAGCGGCTCCTTTAGATTTGAACATTGTAGTCCTGTAAGTTGGAGATATCAGTAGCATGTTATATATGCATATAAAGGTGTGAAAATATGCTCCTGTTTATTGTAAAAAATACTACTAATTTGTTTTCTTAACCACCTTATAAAACCAAACCAAGCTGCAACATGTCACCATCTTTCCAGCCTTTAGATGGTGTTAATTCAAATGCTATTGAAATACTTTTAGATGTTTTTTTTTAATATTTCCAAGTTGTTTGGGGATTTGAACATATTTTATTTGAAAAGTGATGCTAAAATAATTTTAAAAATAACTAATTTTAAAGAAATTCTTTGAAATTAAATCTTTTGAAAAAGTTTTAAACTTTATATTTTTTTAGTTGTGCTGTTGAATCCAACATATTTTTGTTGTTGAAATATTTGAAACAAAAAGCACTTGACATTAAAATATTTTAAATGTGTTGAGCATTCTTAATTGCTCATCAGCTATGATTTACATGTGATACCTTATTTCAGGGATGTGGCCCATTCAATAAGCAAACTAAGCGAAGACTAAGCATTCATGAGGATTTGTCTGACAACTGGAGTCCGGTCTCCTCTCCGATGAAACCTCAGTGAAACCTCAGATAAACCTTTAGGATGAGTAGAAATTTCCAGCTCTTTCTTCTGGCTATGGAAGCAGCATCATTCCATGCAAGCAGATCAGGCAAAAAAATTATCCACCTCTTAATCAACCATGACTGGGATTGGAACTAACCTTTTTCTACTTATATTTATATTAGCTTAACTCATTCCCTCTGGCTGTTCAACTTCAGGACATACCATGAGCCTATTGCTGAAGACATCATCAGGAAAAGATGGTTTTGGATACGCTACTCTCTTCATAAACCCCCATATATCGTCACCTTACAATCCCTAACATGGAATCCAGAGGGCAAGAGGAAGAGAGGAAGGCCATCAAACATGAAGATGGGAGAGGCAGACAACACATGAAGATGGGAGAGGCAGACAACACATGAAGAATGGGATACACCTTGAAACAACTGGAAAGGAAAGCAGAGGACCAAGATAAATGGAGAATTTTTGTTGAAGGCCTATGCCAAGTTCAACTTGAGTAGTTTTCTTCATCTGAACAATTTTTAAATTTTTTTTACATGGATTAATATTAATTAATTTTAAAAAAGCACAAGTGTTTGCAGAAATTGATTAGGATAATGAAAATATAACATTAACAGCCAAAGAATAATGAACAACGACAAAAAAAACAAACAAAGATGGCTTCTCAAGCTAACGCCTGTGGTGGACCTGTGTTTTTGTTGCTACTTTTAAATAACAAGGAGAGAGACACATTTGATCACCTCCCTCTGGATGCGCCTCTGAATAATGCATGTATTTTTCACCGTTGGGAGTGAGTTAAGTTGATAGATTGTGTTTGTTTTTGTTTTTCATTAAAAAGACTATTTTTTTTAATAATGCAAAATTACTAACTTAAATTTTCGTAAGTTTCCTTAAAGTTTATGACATCCCAATCAACTATTTGCAGAGGCTAATTTATTTCTTTAATTTTTGCCTCAGTTTATCACTGGTATTATACAGTGGTGAAAATATCATGGAAAAAGTTGGTTAACTTGAAATGTCCTTTTGTGGTTAACAAATGCGTTTTAATTTGATACTATTATTTTACTTTAATTAAAAAATTAAACAATGATAAAATATTGTCATCCATTATTGACAGGAATTATTTTGATCTAAAATACTTGTAACATTCAAGTAAAATATTGTCATTCATTTCGATCTAAGCAATATGTTTTCAGTTGATATGACATAATTTAGACAAGTTTTTAGATAGTGTAGACAATGTGACATTGTAGTGAGTAAAGTATTAAAACCAACAATCCTGTTGTTTGGAGTTGAGAGATGTCTACACTAAATGGTTGACATAATTCATAAGGTTTGTATTTGTCTATTTTCACAGTTTTATTACAACTTGTATTATAAAAATGCTGCTGCTGTTTTATTTTGGAAGTGATGGGTGACATGTACAACTAATCTAAATTTTAAAAATATTTTTAGTGTTATTAACAGCGTAGCAGTAATATTTTATATTAATTTTAGTGAGGACAATGTGAATTAATGAAAATAGTGGCATGATCATACATTTTTTGAGGTCTCTGCGATTTGCATTGCTCAAATCTACACTTTATTGATAAATAATAACACAGTATTTATTGAGTGAAGAATTTTTAAATTTAAGTACATAAAAGGGGTTAATTATTTGATAGATATCTTTTCCACTTGCAAACTTATTTTGATAAGCATATCATTGTCATAACCATTGATTTACCTTTTGTTTTTACCCCAGATTAGTAAAATTAATTGGTACAAAACTTAGGAATATACCGGTAATCAAAATTCAAACATGGTATTTTTCTATAAATAAAAATGTTTAATTCTCAGATATTTACAAGAATTAGCAAATAAATATTATATGTTATTTTAGCAATGGGTCTAGAACAACGAAATGAGACCATATTAAATTTATCTTAATATTTAATTTTTAAAATTGTAACAATTAGTTTATATTTTTCTCCTCTTGTTTAGAAGGTTCATATGCCAATGAGAATATGAATATGTGATTATCATTTCTTTTTTGACATTTTTTTAAAAATCAAATAATGTTGAATTTGTATGACATATTTAACACTTGAATAGTGTTTGGATTTTTCAGTTACAATAAAAATTGGGATGAAATAATTTTCTGAACAATTTATAAAGTTTGGTTAAGTTTTTGGATTTTTGCCCTACATACTACATACATGTTTTTATGTTAACTATTTCTAGTCTCCCAAAAAATAATATTATTGCTCCATTGTTTTCTTTTATCCTGGCTGAAATAAGGAAAATAATTTTAGTGTGTATAAATATTAACTAAAAGTACCGGTAAGTACAGTGGAAGTCCGATAATCCGGCACGTTCGGGACCGGCTCGGTGCCGGACTACCGAAAATTCCGGTCTATCGGGCGGTGCCCCTTCTTTTTAGTGTAGGCTTTGCCGTAAAACAAATTGTACTTTGTTTTTTTAACTACATACATACATAAATCGTAATTATAAGAACAATTAGGTTACTAATTAAACTACAAATACAGTATGCAGATACAACAAAGTTTATTTTACATTTCATATAATGTATGTACACGTACTGTAAAACATATTTCACTTAGATTTAAAAAAGTCACGAATGTCTTTTTGTTTTCTTGACTTTTGACGTTTAGTATAAAATGTATTTCTAATGATATGGAAATAATTTCTGAAGCACTGTAGCTAGTACTAGCCTCAGCAAAAGAGATAAACTTATTTTGTGATTCTGCAGCTTCTGCCCAGCTGATTTTTTCCTTTTCTTCCGTTTTGGCATCTGAGTCACTTTCTTCAAGATTTTGAGTAGGCTGAGGGTTTAATACACTGTTGATAATGTCCTCATCGGTTAGTTTTTGTTCAACAGGCTCATTCTCGTGGATTAGAAGCCACTCCTCTACCTCATCTTCAGGCAAGTTTTGCAAGGGATTGTCAGGATTTCTAACAACATCCAAAACTTTGGTCAGTGCGTCTTGATGGTTTTCTTCCTCATCAGTCTGTAGAGTTAGGTCAGATTCAGGGTTTGCAGCTGGCCAAAGTTTTCTCCAGCATTTTTGGAGTGTTGTATTTGTTACCTAGTTCCAAGACAGTGCAATAGCATAGACGGCATCTTTTACTGTAAACTTTTTTTGAAAATCAGTCACCTCACAGTCGGCATTTAACAGGCCTTAAATAAAAGACCTTCTATAAAAGCATTTAAAATTTTTAATAACCCCTTGGTCCATGGGTTGAATCAAAGATGTTACGTTAGGTGGGAGCAGAGTAGCAACAATATTTCCAGAAACTAACTCATCTACTGGCGGGTGGGCTTTGCAATTGTCCAAAAGAAGGATGGGTTTAGTATCTTCTGGTAGACCAAGGCTTTTGAAGGATTCCTTGACCTGAGGCACAAAGTGGTGAAAAAACCAGTCTTTAAAGAGGGCGGCAGTCATCCACGCATTTAATTGAGCAACGTATTGGACAGGCAAGTGTGTAACATTGTTAAAAGCCCTGGGTTTTTTAGATTTACCTATCACAAAAGGGGTCACTCGGTGATTTCCAGATGCATTAGCACATAGCGAAACGGTTAATCTGTCTTTGTTTTTTTTAAAACCCTTGGCTGCCTTTTCTCCTCCCCCAGCTAGTGTCGATATAGGTAAACATCGCCACAATAACCCTGTTTCATCAGCATTGTAAATCTGTTCAGGTGTTAAATCATTATCAGCCACGATTTTCTCAAACTCGTCTTTGTATTTTTCTGCAGAGTTTTGGTTTGCTGAAAGTATTTCTCCAGTTACATCAAGTCTTCGAATTCCATGCCGAAACTTAAAGGTTCTGAGCCAACCATCAGAATAATTACATTCACTTTCAGCAACTCCTAAATCTTGGCCGAATTTCTTTGCCTTTTCAACAATCATTGGCCCTGTTACCGGCTTTCCTTCAGAACATACTGCACTAAACCATTTGAACAATACACTAGCTCAACTAGCTGTTCCAGTTTCGTTTTATTTAATGTTTGTCTAGAAGCCAATTTTTCAGTTGTTACCGATTGAGAAGCAAACTTCATTAGTTCATCTTTTTGTTTTTTAATTTCATAAATAGTTGATGAGCCAATATTAAACTCATTCATTAAAACATTTCTATTCTCACCTTTTTCTAGCCGTTTCATGATTTCTAGTTTCTGATTGAGAGTCAGTGTTACGTGTTTTCGTTTCTCCCCTTTTGAGCTCGGAAGGCTTAGGTTTTGAAAACATGGTCACTGTACAGTTAGAACAAAACTCACTTTGTTTATAAACAGTTTCAAAAGTTACGTACGTCACTACAGAGTACTGAGACACAGTTTACTGCCATGTGAAAGGACACAAAACAACAAGGCACAAAAAAATGGCGAAGACGCTTCGTGATTGATTAACTGCGCTGCACTGCACCTGTATTTGTTGTGACAGCTGAGACTAGCCGGCCGCTAATTGTTTCCGAACAATACCGAGCGCTTCCGGATGATCCCGAATTACCCCGAAAACTTCCGAATAGCTCTCGAGCGTTTTTATTTGCTTTAAAGACACTTTTGGAGAAAACCAAAATTTTTACAATTTTCCGGAGCGATGCCGGGCTATCGGGCATTCCGGACTGTTGGATGCCGGACTAATGGACTTCTACTGTAAAACTAAAACATATCGAATTGTAAATTTGGTGAAAGAAAGTTGTTTAAAAAAATTATCACTTCTCACTTGAGTGAATGTGGCACTTCTTATGCTTGGGTTAAACAGAAAAACTATAAATAATGGAATGTCACCTCATACTTGACTTGATATAAGCATAGGTGACAAGTGGGAGATACGCTGGGCTGGTACAGTTCCAGTTTACTCTGTAACATAATATTTACATTCAGGATTGCCTCAAGATCTGTTTAAGTTTAATCAATCAGTTAAGAACAGAGCTCTTCATAACAAAAAAAATATTGATAAGCATCCGGAAGAATCTTTCAATCACAAATTATTTCCAATGATAAAAAGTAAGTGATGATGTATTTGTTTATCCCGTTGTGATATGGAATCTGGTTTAAAGATCTTCATACATGTTGCATCCCTTAATTTTTTTACATTTGGTCTGAAACATTTTGGGACATTAACATACGGTACAAAAGATCTACTTCTGAAAGAACAAGACAAAATTCTTTTTTAGTTTTATCAATTTTTAATTTATGAATAAATAATCGTCCATGGCTTGGATCAATTTTGACATCCAATGAAAAAATATGTATATAATAAAATTTGAACATTGAATCTACAAGTTAAATAAAGGGGTTTTAAGATCAACATAAAAATAATATCTGATTGGCAACAAAAAAAAATTGAGCTTTGGTTAATCGGGACAGATTGCAGCTAGATGTTAAAAATCCTTGTGCATGTATGTACTGGCAATAATAATAAAACCAGAGATAGAATCATCCAACAAATGAGTAACACATGTAGTATAATAAGCAGCTGTCAGCATGATAACACCTTCAGGCACCAAATAGGATTACATACTCTATAAACATCTGTGTCCAAACACCAGCTGCAATCTCACTGTCCAGGACAGGGGTCAACTAGAAAGTCCAGTTAAGATGTACTGACCTCAATATGAGTAATAATATCAATCTGACACACTAGTGACACATTTCAGATTTAAAAAAGTGTCCAAGTCTTCAATAAACCAATGCTGTCATTCTGTTACAGACGTTACAGTTATTTCCGGCTATGAAAATTGGTCCATTTCCTTGTATGTAGCAGAGTATATTATTATATGATGCTATGAATTCAGTATGTATTAAACATGTCACATTAATTTCTTTTTAATGGTTATGGAATATAAGTCCATGTCAATATCAAATTTTGATGTAAAGCCATGGGCTTTCTTGAACTTAAAACAAAATTTCATAGAATAATTCAATGCTACAAATCGTCACATTCATAAAATTATAATAATAATATGAGATCTGAAATCAATAAAAATTATATATTAATTTTTTGTCAGCTATATAAATATATGTTAAAACACCAAACAAAGAGTAATAGAGAAAATGAAATATTTAACAGATAAAGAAATTATACAAATGTTAAAAATAATATATAGTGACAGGGGCATTTCTACATGAAAATACTTTCATTTAATGATTATTATGCTTCAAAAAAATTACAGATTTTTTTACAAAATATGGAGTGAGAAAATTGTGAATACAGTAGTTGATATTCAAAATAGCTGTTTCACATGTTAGAGTAGATATTTTTTTATAATCATCTAAAGATGTATTGGCAAAGTTAATGCTGACAAGTTCATATTAATGAGGTAATGGTTGTACCAAAATCACATAAGCTTTTATCAAGGTAGCTTAACTGAATGCCTTAACTATAAATATAAACCAGGTACCATAAGCTACAAAATAGACTAGGGATTATGTAGTTTTGTCATGTATTGAGCAAACTGACTAAATGAAATAAAGTTTCTTTCTTATCAAAGTGACCCACAATCACTTATACAATAAACTTATGACAAAAGTTATAACTCATCGAGAAATGCTGTCATTAAAATTGAATAGTTTTGTCATAAACTTTTTTCTTGCGCATTGTGACTACAAAAACAAGAAATAAACTGAAGTAGACAAACATGCAATGTACTAGTATTGTTTTAAGTTATAATGGTTGTTTGCACCTGGCATTGGTGTTGAGAGATTATTGTAATTTGTGTCATAACCTGGGAACAGTCTTGCTCATTTCTTTTGCTTTAAATTTAAATCACAGAATTCCCTTTCAGAATGATCTGTATTAGTAAAGCTATAACATTTAGAAAATGAGATAACATATATACAAATTAAACATTAATATCTGCACTGCTTTGATTACGGTACAGTAGAGGAATAACAAAAAGCAATATAA